GCAGCAGATTTGCATAAAAAATAATAAGTTGTGGAAAATGGAATTAAAAGGGAGGAATTATTCACATACTTTTTGAAACCTCTTCATATTTGTAAGCATGATTATACCATAATTTAATTAAATTACTAATGAACTGAGGGCATTTAGATTGTTTTAAATATTCTGTTTATTTTTTCCTAAAAGGAGAAATTAATACCATATTTACATAATTTAAAATTTACATATTTAAATAAATGAAATGTAGTTTTCATAGTGAATTGATGATCCTTAATTTAATCTAAATGATAATATTATCTGTCCAATTTATATGCCTGTTCTTGTAATAGGTTAAGTGGCGAAATGATTTTAGTGCTATTGAGAGAACTTTTTTTTTTAAAAGTTTTTATTGTGAATTGAGTGATAGTTTACATGGGAGAACATCGGTTTTACATTCATCGTTTCATTGCAATGATTACAGTCTCTTCCATGCATCAACATTCAGAAGTATTTGCTTCTGTTCCCTCTATGGTTTGTTTTGAATATACACAAAAACACTCATGAATATATAATCATTTAAATAACCAAAGAGCACATTCTGCAAGCCTGCCTACTCGTCGCCAGCACATAGTCTTTCTCTTTCCATGAATCTAGAGTCCTCAGCAGCTCTTTCTCTTCGTGTCCTCATCTCTGTCTCCAGCTCTGGCGCTGCTGCTTCTCTGGATAGGGTCCCACATTCTGCTTGTGCTCTTCTCCCTTGATGGTCCTAGGGTCTTCTGTTTCTGGGCTGTAAGATTAACTATGCCCCTTTACAGTTGTGACAGTCACAGTCATGATAACAGTTCCTCACTATTGAATCATAAGAATCTTATTCCCGTGTCCTTTCACCAGACCTGTCTAGACAAGATGAAAACTATTTAGTGGGGAGTCTACCTTCCCCTCCCACTCAGAAACTGAACTCCCTCTTGAAAACTTGTAAGCCAGTCATTTCATGTCTTTATAGCCCCCTCATTTTAGGTAGCCAATGTCTAAGTTGCCTGTTCGTATATACCCTGTATACAAAGGGGGATATATTGGATGAACTTTTATATACCTTTTACCTTGAAATTGTTGAGACAAGCATTTATACTTAAAAATGTTGTTGTTGTTGTTAAGTGCCGTTGAGTCGGTTCCGACCCATAGCGACCCAGTACAGGGTTTCTGAGGGTGTAAATCTTTACGGGAGTAGAAAGCCTCATCTTTCTCCCGCGGAGTTGCTGGTAGTTTCGAACCGCTGACCTTAAGGTTCACAGCCCGATTCGTAACCACTACGCTGCCAGAGCTCCTATACTTAAAAATAGTGATTTTAAATGACTGATAATGAAATATACTGTTCATTTAGTGAGAAGGGAACGATTGTTGTTAAGGGCCATGAAGTTGGTTACCACTCATAGCGACCCTGTATACGGTTTCTAAGGAGTGACTGGTGGGTTTGAACTGCCGAATTTGCAGTTAGTAGTCCAGTGCTTATCCAACAGTGCCACACCAAGATTCCTAGAGAGAAGGTCACAGTAGGGACAAACATTTAATTGCTGTCTGGAGTTTTACCAAACTTCTTTGGTTGAAAAATTCCATTTTATACAAATTACTAGAAGCTGTTTGGTAGAATGGTTAATTATAAGGACTCTGGAGTCAGAACTGACTAAACTCACTCCTAGCTCTACTGTTACTGGCTTTGTGACTGATTGAAGCTATGCCTTAGTTTTTCATCATTAAAAAGGGAATAATGATGCTGCCTACCTCAGATGATAATTGTGAAGATTAAATGAGTTAATGCCTTGGTGAGTCAATAAGTATTGCTACTAGTTTCTAGTTCCTAAGTGCTGCTGCTGTTGTTGTTAAGTGCCTTGGTTTGGACTGATACCATTATGTAGAGTTTCTAAGGAGCAGCTGGTGAATTTGAGTAACTGATGTTTAGGTTAGCAGTTCTTATCCTACAGTGCCATACCAGAACTCCTCATATGTATTACTAGGGTTTAGTCCTATAAAAGTTTTTAAAATAAGTCTCTGATTAGTGGTTGACTGACTGCAGATAAGTTCTATCAGTAATGCATTCGTCTTTGTCTCATTAGGGTGCTTTCCAGAAAATGGTCAGATCAAAACCCTGATTTCCAAGGTGCTGTAGGATAAACACTCGACCACATGGCTGGTAGTTCAAACCCACCAGTTGCTCCTCACAAACCCTATGTAGGGTCACTGTAAGTCGAAACAGACTCGAAGGCACTTAGAATAATCAGTCATTCGAGATCAAAAGAACAGCATTTCCCAAATGTTGTTGTTGTTGTTGTTGTAAAGTGCTGTTGAGCAGGTTCTGATGCACAGTAACCCTACATAGGGTTTCTGAGGAGCACTGGTGGGCTTGAACTGCTGACCATGCGATTGGACTTTTCTAACTGACTTTGTAATCCAGGGCATTAACCCACAGTGCCACACCAGGACTCCCTTAATCGGCCAGTTAAATTCAAGGCAGAGAGGTCAGCCCAGAAGGTTATGGTGACTGTTATAGGGTATTTACACCAGGATAACCTTGAAGGGCAAGTCCCGGTATGGTGCTGTGGGTTAATGTGCCAGGCTGTAAAGTTGGTTTCAACCGCAAGGTCAGCAGTTCAAGCTTACCAGTTGCTCCTCGGAAACCCTGTACAAGATTGGTGTGGATTGGAACCAACTTGATAGCACTTCACAACAACAATTTTGAAAAGGGGTAATCTTGATTTTCTCAAAGGACACAGGATGATCATTGGGGGCTTATTATGGAGAAGTTTTAAGAAACTTCTTAAAGTGCTGAGGATTTTTTTTTCGTCAGGAGAATGTAAGGCTTCCCACCCTTAGACCATCCAACCTGTAGCCTTAATCTTGTGCTTTTAGACTTATTTTTGTTCCCCAAACTCAACATTTAAAAAGAACATGATTTTAACCCCTTGAGGATGTCAAAACTGCTGTTTTAGTGTGTATAAATCAGAGAGTGCAGAATTCTTTGGGGGAAGGGTAGTGTGATGAAAACATTGCCTTCAGAAAGGTACAGACTTAGGTGGAAAATAGGTGGAGAAACAGTAGCTTCACACTTTGATACTTTTTGAAAAAGTTTCTTTTTACTTTGTGACATACTTTCTGACTTACCCTCATATATATAAAGTGCCTGGAATGGAGTCATCATGTGAATCTTGCATAAGGGTTAGTTAGCTAATACTG